TTACAGACTGGCTTAGGCTTTTTTTTTTTTGTCTTTTTGTTCATAGACAGTCTATGTTTGGGATGTTTTTTTTATGTTTTGGATGTTTATTAAATTCAAATCTGAAACAGTCCATTTAATAAACGTCATCAGCTTACAGCCAATCAGCGTACAGTCTCGGTAAATGACGTTTGAAACAACCAATAGAATTCACAGGAAGGCGGGCCCACGCGAAAAACAAACTGTGGATTTCTTTATGGCGGACATTGAGCTCTTTAAAGAAGCTCAACATTAAAACAAAGAGACTCAGGGACTAGAACAACTCAAAACAAGACGCTCATTGAACATACTAAACACAAAACACTGACTCACCCGCAGCGGAGCTACCGAACTCCGGTTCGGGACAGGAGTAGGAACCGGTTCGGCACGAAGAGAGCAAAACTGGTTCCCAGAGTTAAGTTAAACAAAAAACACCACCCGAAGCGATAAACATCATTAGTGTCGATGTTTTTCCAGTGAAACGTGTTTAAAACATCAACTGACAACAATGTTGGCTGGGACTGGCCAGCTGCCTCGCGCGGGTTTTATAGCGGCGGTTCTGATCGTCGCCCCCGTGTGGCGGGAGGCCGGAACTGCAGGCGGCGAATCAAAGAGCTGTAACGTCAAGAGGAGTCCCACCTCAACACGGGACAGAGACGTTTTGAAATCAATTTATCACATATGAAAATACGGATTCAAGCTAAAATATAAAAAATGTGTGAAGGCGTATTTGGAGCTGTGTGTGTGGGTTCTGATCTTTAGTTGACTTGACTTTCCTTCCCTCCATTGATTACAGTGACATTATTTACATGAACGCTCCTACAAGAACCCTGCAGATGTTGGATGCTGTCTATCATGGTGCACTAAGATTCATAACTGGCTGTAACTACCGTACCCACCACTGCACCCAGTATTCACTGGTTAACTGGTCACCATTAACTTCACGCAGACTCTCCCACTGGTACATTTTCATCTTTAAATCACTTCCTGGTCTGCTGCCTTCATACATCTCCTCCTACATGTCTCTGTGTGAGTGCAGCTACAGCGTGCGCTCTCAGGACATCATTACCTGCAGTGTTCCCTCAGTGAGGACTGAACTAGACAAAAGGACCTTCTCCTGCTCCGCTCCTGTTTCCTGGAATATCTTGTAAAAATATCTGAAGCTCTCGACCTTTGACCTCTCTAAGTGGCTTCAAACATCTGTCAAGTTCCTGCAGATGTTCCTGTTTTTAGTTTTATACATCAATTTACAATCTAGCTGTTTTTTTTTGGTGCTACTTTTCGTTTTGATTGTTACGGAGCCCCGGAGGAGACGGGCTCAGTACAAGAAGGAGAACTCATATAAACACTTGTGTTAATCTCCATAGTATCATATAATCATCATATGATTATATGATACTATGTTTATTCTATGGGCGAACAGGTGTTCCTTCTTCTTCTTCTGTTTTAAAGGCGGCGCGCGCGGCTCTTCTTCTTCTTCTGTCTGTAACGTCAGCGCTGCAGTAACCGTCTACAGCAACTTTTTTTTTATCATTCATTAAACGCTCAAATCAGGGACATTTTCGGGGACACCTTTAGCCGGGGACAGGTCGTCCAAAACGGGGACTGTCCCCGAAAATCGAGTCCTCGAGGCTCAATGGGATTAATCTGTAGAAATAAAGGTTGAATGGAAAAAACTGACTGCGAGACAAAACCGGAAGTTCTAGGGAGTGAAGCGTTCATGTTATCTTGGAGTTGACTTGAACCGGATGTAGAACCGTCGGATCGTTTTTGTCGCGGACAACGTGTGTGTAGTGGATCCACGAGAGCCAGGTTTGAGTCGTTCAGCCTCCTTGCTCGTGATGTTTTCGTGTTGAACGGTGTTTGTGATCGTTACAAGTTACTTTGTTGTTCGTGACGTCACGACAGCAGAGCCGCCAGTCTGCGCGTGTTCATCTACAGTCATGAAA